TATATATATATATACAAAGCCCTGCTGTCAATTGGCGACTAACAAAATTAACCTGGCATAGTTGTTCCCTTTGCCACCAAGAGATAGTGTAGAGAAGCTAGCAACTTTAATCAGAGATTTGTGGGAGCTAGAAAATGAAAGAAAAAAATTTCATTGGAAAGTTAATGATTATTATTTCATTTATTTTTTCCCGATTTGATTTGTGTTAAGAAGTAAGATAATGTATCGAACTTTTAGTTGTGCTCTATTTAATGGTTTGGTCACTTAATCTGAACCTCTAACCGTAAATACTTTTATTGGAAATGTTTTTTTTTCCCGATGCGTTGTACTCTAGAACTAAATTGCAGTGGTACCTTAGGACGTTGCAAGGTACAACACATAAAAATTTTTCTAATAAATGCATTGAAGAGCTTTACTATTAAATTGCTGAAAGTTATGGTGGATTTTGGTACAGGCGAAAGAAAAAAAACTCGCCGAGAAGAAAACCAAAGTCAAAATTATTAGGTTCTCCAGTTCTAAGGATGAACAAAAAACTTTTTTGACGAAGAAGATATGAGCAAGCAAGAATTGATAGACGGTGTGTTCCTCCAGGAAAAAATGGACGTATCCTTTCTTCATTATGATTACAAATGTGGCGAAATTAAAGGGGACCGTTTTATTTGAATTAAATTTGCTGGCTAGAAGAAAACTTTTTTATTATGTCACAAAATAACAGACACTGTTAGGATATCCGCAATCACTCAAGTTTCCTGTGGATTTCAGTGTACATAACCATAACATGCCCGTGGACTAATCTGGTAGATAAAGAAGCTTTTTTTAATTTTTCCTGTTACGTTTTGTATTTTATATTCATTAAATAGGATTTATTTGTTAGATTTTTTAAATTTTCATTTAGTATCAAAGTACAATATCCTGCAACCCAAGGTAAAACATGGTGTTGCCGCTTAGGAACCTTTGCAAAGGTGTAAAAAATAATTTGTCTTCCCTTTTTAAAAATAACATATTTTTAGTTTTGAAGTGCTTACAGATTCTTTAAATGGTAAGCAATGAGAGATTACTTTAATTTCTACTGTAATCTTTACCCAAGTAAAAACAAACAACTTTGTTTTTGAACTGTTCCAAGGTACAACGCCTTCTCCTACATATTATTAATAAATGATGTTATAAAAATTACCTGTACAGCTGACTCCACAGCTAGTTTTGGTGCCTTTTCTGCAATATTTGTCGTTGATCTAAAAATTAATAATGTATGCACATAAGTAATTATGGTATTACGTAGTTGGGGACTTATACACTTTTCGGAGAAGATATTTCCTAGTGGTTATGAAATAAAGTAAACTTTTAAACTAATAAGTACAATTTTTCATAAATTCTGCAGGATTCGAAAGCATCACCATATGATTATCAATTCTATTAAATGTACAGTCAGCAAAAAAAAAAAGATATCACCCTGAATAACTTTCGTTCTAATGATCGGATTTTCACGATCTAAGTGTCAATCTTAATGGTTCCCGGGGGTCACCTCAATTATGCTAATTAACTAGTGCTAACTATTAATTAAGCTACGAAATCAGATGCAAAAACGTACTTTCTCTGAATAAACAAAAAAATTTTTTCACATATTTGGATTTTTCATCTTCAAAATATAAGGGGTAGCCGCAATCTGGGAAATGTGGTCCCCATAGTTTGGTCAAGAGAGCGATTCAAAGTTCGGGCCCCTTAATGTTAATTTCGCTTTTTGCGTTTTCAGTCATATTTTAAAAACTAATGAAGCAATTAGATATGCTTCTCNTTCTCTATTTCATCTAGTCTTTAAATTTCAATCATGCATTTGTTTCAAAATGGTTGCTATGCATTCAGAGCTATGTATTATAATGAAAAATTATTTTAGTAAGTTAGAGCTTCTAAAATATTGTTATAATATAGTTTTAATATTAATTTAATTTTGATTAAATATTTGTATAGTTTTTTTAAATCATAAATTAAAGCATACAGTGTATTTTAATAAAAATTAAAAATAATCCGATTTAAATAAAATAAAAATCACAAACCCTGTAAATAAGGTCAAGGGCAAGCCAGCTCTTAAACTTGTAGCTTGCAGGCAGCACATTTTTGATGCATCATAAATGTGCTGCCATCCAAGCAGCACATTTATGATTATGCTGCTTGGATGGCACAACTATGCAAACCTTTTATTTTTGCATTGACTTGCTTAATAATTCCTTTTTTCCACTATTAGGTTATGAAAGCTTAATACCTTAAGTATTTTTTAAATCTTTTAGTGGAAGCATTTTGGAATAGAATTGGAATGTTGCCCCTCATGTTATGTGATAAAAAACCAGCTTACTTAAATTATTGGCTGAATATTGTTCTCCTTGAGGCAGAATATTTTCGGGCTTCCTGCTATACCTCCCCAATACTAATATCTTTCTGTAAGATACTTTTAAAACTAACAAATATACATGTTACTCATTTAAAGTAACAAAAGCATCTAGTACAAAAAGAAGAGAGAAAAAAAACTTTTGGTATTGATCAAATAAAATATTTCATTAATTGAGCGTGTAATATTTTTTTATTTCTAATATTACGGGGGATATTCTCTTATTTTGTTGAAAGCACACTAATTATTCTCTGATTATATCTGTATTTAAATAAATTTCTTTTTTTTCTTTCATCTTTCAGATTTTGGATGAGAATGACCCTTCCAGAAAGGCAAAACTAGTTACATCTGCTGTGGATACTCTAGTTTGGCAAACCTTAGCTTCTGTAGCTATTCCAGGATTTACCATCAATAGGCTTTGTGCAACCTCCATGTATTTGCTAAAGAAAAATACTAAACTACCGTCTTCCACTAGAAAATGGACTACAGTAGCTATAGGTCTTGGTAGCATCCCTTTTATTGTTAAACCAATAGATCACTTAGTAGATTCTATAATGAACAATACTTTTAGAAAATGGTTCATGTAGAATTTAATATGTGAAGTTATAGTGTATACTTAGCAATTTTCTGTTAATATTGTTTGCATTTTTTTATGGAAACAACAATGAAAGAAAAAATTTAATCTAGATATTCTTAATTTTTGAAATATTTCAGCATGTGGATAGGAATATAAAGATGTCCTTCTTGTGGAGATTTTGAAAATGTTTTATGTAGAATTTTAGAAAACTTCTAGTATATTCTTAGGAATTTCCAGTTAATATTGTTTGCATTCTTCTTTTACGAAAACAACAGTGAAAGAGAAATATAATCTAGATGTTCTTAATTTTTAAAATATTTTAGTATGTGGATAGAACATTAAATTAGTTAATTAATTTCTCCTTGTGGAGATGCTGAAAATGTTTTATGTGGAATTTATGTAAATTTCTGGTATATTCTTGGCAATTTTCAGTTAATGTCGTTTGCATTCTTCTTTTATGAAAACAACAGGGAAAGGTATAATACAATCTAGATAATCTTAACTTAAAAAAGAAAAAAAAAAAAGAACATTTTAGAGTTCAGATAAAACATAAAAATGAATTTCTTGGAGATGTTGTTTTTCTGATAATAGAACATTGTATAATCTTTATAGTTTTATATTACCATTTATATGGATAGTTTTACATTGATATTGACTTGAATAGTCGTAGTATCCTCATGAATAAGCATTTAGTGTTTTATGATATACTTTAGAAGTGTTTAGAATTTTTATTGATGATTTTTTTAAAAAGTAGAACATGTAATATTTCATTAAGCAAAATAAAAATATGAGGATAATCTTTCTGAAAGACAAAACTAGTGTTAATCATAGATATATTGCATTTAAATAAATTTATAATTTCTGTACTGAGCACTGGAGATAGTGCTCCGGTGTAGCATTGTATTATTCATCCAGTGTAGCATTGCTTAATGCATTGTTACTTTAAGTGTCACTTTTTGTCTTTAAGATAGCATGCAGTTATTTAAGAAAAGTTATTTTTTCCTGTAACCTTTATTCAATAAGGAATGCATTCTAATGATTTTACATCTAGCTTAAGAATTTCTTCTGTTTGTAAATCAATTGCTTTGTTGTGTAAATGGCAATTGCTAAAAGTCTCTTTTCTAGTTCTTTATTTTAGAAATTATTTCTTCCTAAGTGTTCTCCTCTTGTTACTAGTTTTCACTCCAGTTTTATATCTTTCTTTATGCAAGATGAATAAGAATTATCTGATTAAATTTCACCTACAATAACGCATAAAATGCGAAATATGTATCGTAGCTTATGTATGTAACAACAAAAATTTAAATTTTGTATAATTTCTTTATATGTTGCTTAATTTATTTCTTCCTATGTTTTTATGTTTATATTCATTTTTTAATTGGTTTTTTCCTTTTTTTATGTTGATTTCTCCATATTGAATTAAAGATTTACTAGTTGCTGTCATGTTTTGTTAAAGGGTTTATAAATATGTAATAATATAATTTCCAATGATGTATTTATCTATCTTATTTATTTTTTATTTTGCTTCTTGTTTGAGAAGTATAATTATATTCCTTTGTAAATAATCCTCAATTACTCCTCATTATTAAAAAAATGATATGAGTTAAAATTTATATGGAGTATTTTCTTCAATTGTTAAATAACATGAAAGGAATTTCCTAGTTATGAAATTTTTTTGGATGTGTGGGATATATTCGAGAGTTTCAAGATGTGTATTAATGAAAATATTTGTTTTTGATTAGGTTTATTTTTGAGTAGTACGTTCCAAATATGCCTATTAAATGGTTATCTATCAGTGCACTTATAACTTCAGTGATTCCCCTTGGAAACTGAATCCTTAGGACCCAATACTTCCAAACTTCTGGGTGCCTATTTAAAATATGAATTGTTTAATTTGTTATGCATCTATTAATAAGTACAAATATTGAAATATTACTGTACAAATATTGAATGAAAATATTATTTAGTTATTGATTCGGTTTATTTTTGAGTAACATGTTCCAAATATTCCAATTAAATAGTTATCTATTTGTGCTCTTATAACTTCAGTGATTCTGCTTGGAAACTATGAATCCTTAGGACCCAGTACTTCCGAATTTCTGTGTGCCTATTTAAAATATGAATTTTTTTATTTGTTATCCATCTATTACTATGCAAAATCTTAATTTTGCTTATAGTCAAAACAAGATTTTCAAAAGAAGAAAAAAAGAGAAATATTTATATTTGAGCTATCAATAATTTGAATTAAGGCTGATCAAACTCTTGCATCAAGGAAAAGCAAGATGTAATTTGACACTCATAATTATTTTAATTTTCTCCTTCGGCTGTTAATAAAGAAGTGGAATTTTATTTTTATATTTGTATATAAATAAAATTAGGTTATAATTGTGCCAACATAAATCTACTTACATAGTACTTTTTTTGGTTCTGCTGGAAAGTTCAGCGTTATGCCTCATAACATATTTTTAATGCCTTTTCTACTTCAATTTCTAAATGGGGGGAGGGGGAAGAAAAGCTTTAAACATTGTTTCATTAGAATCATTACACATTTTTCAGTATGTTTTTTTTCTTTTTAATTTTGAGTACTACTACTACAAATGTAATAATGAAATAGCTAAATATATGACTAGTCTAGGTATTTTTTAAATGGACAAAACTTTAAAATGTTAACACATTTTATAGGAATTACCAAATTTTTTTGAGTATTTTTTTATTTGTTTTTGCAAGTTTGCCAATTAAATCTATGTTTGATGTTCAAATGCTATTTATTTCCTGAATGGGAGAGAACTAAAAAATTTTTTATGCATTTGCTCATTTTTATTAGAAATATTTATTTTTTCTCGTGGATGTTTGTGGTTCTTGATTAATTTTACTTTTAAGAAGAGTATTTCACTGTACTTTTTAATGTCAATATAAATATCCTAAATGTTTAATTACCTCATCATCATTTATCTATCTGTCTCATTATCCTTCTGTCTCATTATCTAAACTATCTCATTGTCTATTAAATGTCTCATCCTTATCTAAGATTTTTTTTCTGAATTACAATATACAGTTTTGTGTAGTATAAATTTTTTAATTGAATAGACAATTGTTATTTAATGTTGCAACTCTTTCCTCCCTAACCCTAAAGTATTTTTGGACCTTTTTTTATAAATTGTACTTTTGCTCAATTGCCTTCCATCCATTTTGTTATGTGTGTTTTGTCATTTTCTAGAAAAAAAACTGTTGTACTTTCAAAGTTTATTTTAATACTATGTGAGAACTATGATCTCGTTTTATATTTAATATATTTTTGTAGTATATATGCTTGAAATTTTGCTTTTGTTTGTGTTATTAACATGAATAATTCAGTGCCTTTCGGGAAATTTTGAAATACAAACTTTTGAAACTCCAATTAATAAAGAGTTAATTTTGTAGCAATAAATTTGTTTATTGTTCTCATGCAATCATTTTCAGTAAAGCAAATAATCATTTTAATAAAGCTCAATAAAGCTTGTTTACTTATTCTATATTGTCGTTTTTCTTTTTCTTTACCCTTAAAGTTAAGGCTTCTTTAAAAAAAAGCGTGATCGATAACGAAAAATAAATGATTTGGAATGGGTAACGGAAAACAAACTATTTATAATCTGTCATATTTAGAGCTGGGTGATGTATCGGGAAATATCGATCTTTTTTAATTATCGCGATAGCGATATTGAGGACATGTTCTCACGATATGTCGTGAATACGAGAAATATCGACCTGGAGCCGTGGTGGCTCAGGGGATAGAGCGTTCGCCTTCTAATGAGATGAACCGGGTTCGAATTCCCGCGATGGCTGGTTGATTCCAATTCCACACCTGGCTCGCACCGACCACAGTGCTGACGTAAAATGTCTTCAGTGATAGACGGATTAAGGGTTAGAGTCCCCTTGTCGTCAGGCTAACCTTGGGAAGTTTTCGTGCTTTTCCTCTCTATGTAACGCAGATGCGGGTTACTTAAATCGGCGAAGGCGAATTTCTCATAATACTTGAATCAGGAGTTCCCAAGTCTTCTGGGTTGGGTTCAAAATTATAAGGTTACGGAGTTGAGCATAAGTAGTCGTAAAAGGGCCGGGATAGCCTGGTTGTTAGGGCACTAGGCCCATGTCGAAGAGATTGTGGGTTCGATCACCGTAACTGGTGGCTGAGGCACGTTAAATCTGTCGGGTCGCAAAGTCCTCTATGTTCCCATAACAAATCAATACATTTGGGTGTACTGATCCAGGATCTCTCTTGTCTTCTGGATTGGGATTAAATTTACAAGGATACGGAGTTGAACATTAGTAGTCGTAAACCCAGAATTGTATCGGCTGTTCAACGACTGTTATAATATAAAATAAAGTAAGTAGTCATAAACCCAAACAATTGGATCGGCTGTTCAACGATGGTTATTAAGAAAATATCGACCTCAGATTAGTTTTGAAAAATTTCATCACTTTATAAATACCGAAAGTATTGACGCTCGATAAATACCGGCACTTGATAAATTCCTCCAGTCGAAAAAAACCGACACTCGCTAAAATTCCGATACCGGATAAATATCGAAAAAAAAAAAACTGACATTTCGTAAATACCAAAAAATAGGGATACTCTAAAAATACCGACAACATTGTTTCCCAATGAGTAAAATTTATTTTTGTAGGAAGAAGAGAGACGAAAACCTTTTACATCACTGCTAGTAGAATCTTTACTATTAGAAGTTCAGATGTTGTCCAGTATTAGTCATATATGGCTGTAAGACTCAAAATTAGTTTTTAGTTCAATGATTTACTTCTCGATAGAATCAGAATTAATTTTTTTTAATATAAGGTTTTGAACAAGATCTATTGAACCTCTTACGGCCGCCTTAACATATTGCTTATTAATCATCAATTGCGAGACGTTTGATGAGAACGTGAATCTTTATGTAGCATTCTAAAATGTAGATGCAAATGGAAAGCATTTTTACTTTAAATTATTTTCATTTACAATGGCTATAAATTAATATTGTCCTATTGACACTTTATAGTTGCTTTTCTTTAAGAAATCGTTAAGAAAAAAGGCAATTTTATAGTTGCTTTTCTTTAGGAAATCGTTAAAAAAAGCAATTTTATAGTTGCTTTTCTTTAAGAAATCGTTAGAAAAAAGCAATTTTATAGATGCTTTTCTTTAAGAAATCGTTAAAAAAAAGCAATTATAAAGTGTATTTTCTTTAAGTAATCGTTAAAAAAAACTATCAGAAACATTTACAGCACATTAATTGTTTGAACTGAGTCGAACTTTTATATTCTGAAAGTGGTAAAAATTAAAACTAATTTTTTGTTCTTCAATTTACAATAGAATTATAGGTTTTCAGCCTTTCGGGCTTACATCACATTTATCAATAAATCTTAAAGTCGGGATGTGTTGACAATTTTTCCACTCTGGCCTAGAAAAGAAAGAAAAATACTGCCTTAATCACGATTGCTTAGAATCTCTAAGAATTAAAACGAATCCTTCAACTGCAATAAATTTATAAAAGTATTTTGCAAATATTTTCTAATAAATCCTGAAGATAGGAGATATTTCCTTACCAATGCGAAAATCCTTCCTTTTCCATGATAGCCAACGCACATGTTGCACTATGTTCAATATTGTCTGACACTAGATCTACAAGAAAATAAAAGCAATGTATGACAACTTTATAGAATAGCATAGTTGCCAACCCTGCTCTTTTAGCTAATTATGCACCTGAGGAGACAGTTTAATGTGGTTGTAAAAGAACAAGGTTCCCAGAATTGTGTACCCAGAATTCGCCAGTCCAGCACTTGTAAACAAGAGGGGGGGGGAGGCTTTTGTGTATATGATTGAATGTTTTTCTTGGTTGATAGGCTAAATCATATTAATTCGAATAAGTAAAACTAAGAATAAAATCTTTAATCATAAGTTTGGCTTCTGCTTTATATACTACTGAATAATCTTTCACGCATATTTTCTGGCACCTAAGGCCTTCAGCATATCCCTCTATCTAAGTCTGCCATTAGTAACAAATCTGGCTTGTTCCTGTATTGAAATACATAAGATCTTAAACTTGTTTAACGTCATGCGATATAAAGTATTTTTTTCCTTTTGCGGTCCATGTGAGAGCAGATTGGATACTATAGTAAATTTATAAGGAAAATTAAATTATGTATATATTTATGTATGTATATATATATATATACATAGGGGAGAGCGTTGTACCTTGGGTTTAACAGCAAAGCCCTGCTATCAATTGGCGACTAACAATATAAACCTGGCATAGTTGTTCCCTTTGCCACCAAGAGTTAGTGTAGAGTAGCTAGCAACTTTAAACGATTTGTGGGAGTTAGAAAATAAAAGGAAAAAATTTCATTGGAAAGTTAATGATTATTACTTCATTTATTTCCCCCCTAATTGATTTGTGTTAAGAGTTAAGATAGTGTATCGAACATTTAATTGTGTTCTTCTTAATGGTTCGGTCAGTTAATCTGACCAACTAACCGTAAATACTTTTATAGAAAATGTTTTTTTCTTCGATGCGTTGTTGTCTAAAACTAAATTGCAGTGGTACCTTAGGACGTTGCAAGGTATAACACATGAAGATATTTTCTAATAAATGCATTGAAGAACTTTACTATTGAATTGCTGAAAGTTATGGTGAATTTTGGTACAAAGAAAAAAGAAAAACACCGAAAAGAAAGCTGAAATCAAAATTATTAGGTTCTAAGGATGAACAAAAAATTTTTTGACGAGGAAGATATAAGCAAGCAATAATTAATAGAAGGTGTGTTGGAAGAAGAAATGGACGTATCCCTTCTTCATTATGATTTCGAATGTGGCGAAATTAAAGAGAACGATTATATTTTAATTAAACTTGCTGGCAAGAAGAAACTTTTTTTATTATGTCGCAAGATAATAGACACTGTTACGAAATCCGCAATTACTCAAGTTCCCTGTGAATTTCACTGCACATAACATGCTTGTGGACTAATCTGGTAAATAAGCATTTTTTTTTAAATATTTTTCTTGTAACGTTTTAAATTTTATATTTATTGAATAAGATTTATTTGATAGATTTTGTTTAATTTTCATTTAGTTCCAAAGTACAATACCCTGCATCCCAAGGTAAATCATGGTGTTGCATCTTGGGAACCTTTGCAAAGGTGTAAAAAATAATTTGTTTCCCCCTTTTAAAGACATATTTTTGATTTTAAAGTGCTTATAGATTCTATAAATGGCAAGCAATAAGAGATTACTTTCATTTCTACTGTAATCTTTACCCAAGTAAAAACAAAAAACTTTGTTTTTGAACTGTTCCAAGGCACAACGCCTTCTCCTACATATTATTAATAAATGATGTTATAAAAAGTACCTGTACAGCTGACTCCACAGCTAGTTTTGGTGCCTTTTCTGCAATATTTGTCGTTAATCTAAAAATTAATAATGTATGCGCATAAGTAATTATAGTATTACATAGTTGGGGTCTTATACACTTTTCGGAGAAGATATTTTCAAGTGGTTATGAAATAAAGCGAACTTTTAAACTAATAAGTACAATTTTATACATAAATTTTGCAGGATTCAAAAACATCACCATATGATTATCAGTTCTATTAAATGTACAGTGCTCCAAAAAAAAAAGGACCACCCTGAATAACTTTGATCTAATGATGGGATGTTTACATTCTAGGATTCATTCTTAATGCTTTGAGGGGTTCATCTCAAATATGCTAATTAATTAGTGTGGACGATATTTTAAGTTGCGAAATCGGACACAAAAACGTACTTTCTGGGCATAAACATAACTTTTTTTCGTCGGATTCGGATTTTTTACCTCCAATATATAAGGGATAGTCGCAATCTGGGAAATATGGTACCCATAGTTTGGTCAGGAGATCGATCCAAAGTTTGGACCCTTAATGTTAACTTTACTTTTTGCGTATTTCGCAGTATCTCGAGATTATTTTTTAGTGAACTGAAAACTTTTGGCACAGAATTATAAAATTTGTTTACACAAAGATAATTCCATGCAGAAAATAAATTTTAGTAAATATATTTTATATTTTTGTTATTATTTTATTTAATATTAGTCGTAAAAATTTTGAATTGCAAGGTATACAGTTTTTACCACAACATCAACGTAAAAAATTGTATACTTTGCAATTCAAAATGTTTTTGACTATTATTAAATTAAATAATTAAAAATTTTAAATATTTACTAAAATTTATTTTTTGCATGGAATTATCTTTGGATAAAAGAATTTTATAATTGTGTGCAAAAGTTTTTCAATTGGCTTGAAAAGTTTAAGAGATATGGTGGAATACGTTTCATATCTCTTAAACTTTTCAAGCTAATTGAATTCAATTCTTATTGTTTCAGATAGTTTTCAAACTACTAATTCGGTTTACCTGATCTAATCGATTAAAGATTAAAAAAATCCCAAAGAACGCGCAATCAACTCTCTGTGAAACTCGATTTTGATCAAAGAGAGCGCTTGCAAACATAACTAAGATTATCTTTTAAATACTAAAAAAAAAAAATTTTTTAAAAAAAAGAGAAAAAAAATATGTAATCGTCGACAGTTTAATTTATAACAATGTCTTAAGTTAAGGAAATGGATCAGTTCCGCAGTGAACTGAACGTTAAGACACGGTTACCAGCAGATCACCGAAGTCAAGCATCACTGGCTGCTGTCAGTGTGCGTGTGGGTGACCACTTGGATCCGTCTGAGTAGGGACCGAGGGTGTGCGGTATTGGTCCTCGTTAAACTGTTCTACCGTAAAGTGCTCGACTTCGCGTGTAGGTCGTCGGGCTACCAAAGCAGGGGTGTCATCCCCTCTGCAGAGGATCAAAATTGTGATGGCATGTCTTCGGATCATCCTCAGGGATGCTTCCCACTTCGTCGCCAATAGCCCATTGTGCAGCTCTAGTGCGACGTAAAT